GAATTATGAGCTAGGATAAGCAATGTAAACAATGAGATATATCCTATATGATGAAATATATATATATGCAAGGATATATAAACTAACACAAGGGGTAAACAATATGAACTAGATAGTGGATCATATAAATAATGAGCTATGGACAATTGCGATATAAGATATGAACATAAATATAAATGAACGCCAAGGCACACTCAAACACACTATATGATCACAGAGTTCGGACCTTCCGTCCTACGTCTCCGTTCCCCACTCTCGGGGAGAAATCCACTATCAACCGGGTTTTCTACGTTCACCCGAATAACGTTTACACCTCACAGTATCGGTTTTCAACGCTCACCGATCAACGTCACTCCTCACACTCGGTTTCTAGCTCACCGAAAACCTCACTACACACTCGGTTTCTAGCTCACCGAAAACCTAACAATCTCACAATGTAACAAATATAAATGAGAACACAATGAAAGCACAACTCAAAGTTATAATCTCTCACCACCCAACTATACTATGTATGAAAGATACAATAAGCTCAATGTGGGTGTGTGTAACAGTGAGATTCAATAAAACTTAACTCAATAAGAACTAGCAATAAGAATTGATATGAAATTCAATAGTAAAAATGCTAGGAAATAGAGTTAAGGAAACTTCTCTATAAACACAAAGAGAGGATGATGAAATGTTGAAGATGAACTCTTCAATAGCTGATTGTAAACTCCTCTTTGTAACAGCAAACCAAAACAAACTTAAACCAAACAAAAACAAGCTTAAACCCTTGTTTAAAACCTTGTTTAAAAACTTCTTTAAAAACTTCTTAGCTTAGTTGAAAAGACATCAGCAATGGGGTATATATACCCACTCAAAGCTCAGCCAAAAAACCCCAAAACGAAATGACCAAAAACCCCAGCAAACAGCTCAGAGAAAGAGCCGTTAAAAAGCAACGGCTATATTGTCGGTCGACCGAAAATTCCGTCGGTCGACCGATGAGAGCAAAAACACGAAGAAAACTTTCTGTTCGGTCGACCGGGTGGAAATTTTGGTCGACCGATGGTAAATTTCGGTCGACCGTCGGAAATTTCGGTCGACCGACGGTACTGAAGCAGGTATATCCGATTTTATAAAATCGGTTAAAAATAGTAAAACAGTTCCAAAAATTATGACATTTGGAGGGAAGGTTCTGGAAATGTATAAAAACATGTTAGAGAAAGAATTTCTGAAAAAACATTTCCCAGTTGAGAGAAATAAATGTTTGAACACAGAAATACAGTTTCTGAAAATCTGCTGTGATACACGATTTTGTAAAATCAATTAGGCATAGTAAATCAACTCCAAAAATAGTAAAATTTTGTGGAAAGTTTCTAAATATGTAGATAAACATGTCAGAGAAAGAATTTTTCAAATATCACTTATCATTTGTGAAAAATCATCAGTTTTGTAAAACATGCACGAACATGTGTACGAACGAAAACGTGAATTTGTAAATTCCTTTAAACACGAACATGTGTACGAACGAAAACGTGAATTTGTAAATTCCTTTAAACATAACAAATCAATTCCAAACTTGATGAAACTTTGAGAAATGTTTGAAAATGATATTTTGAACATGTTACAAAAAGAATTTTCCAATTTGCATTTCTCAATTGTGAAATCTCATTATTTTGCAAAAGTATTCAAAACATGAAAAACCCAAAACCATGCATGTATGTATATAACTATATATATACATAGAAACCAAATACGTGTGTGTATATGATATTGAGCTTAAGGTACTTAACACACATAATATAAAACCTAAGCTAAGTTACCCAAGCTTGATCTTGATCTTCATTGTAGCTCAACTTGGTACACGTTGCGGATGAAGCTTGAACTTGATCTTTAACTTGAATTGTATAGGCTTCAATCCGACATTCCGCCAACCTCCTTTGGATATCATCGTTGAAGCGCAATCCATCCATCCTCCAACAACGTTGTTTGTCTACAATACATAGGAATGCACAAACACTAGACAAACAATATTAGTAGTAAATTGTTTGTAAATCATCATCAAAACAAGAAGGCCAACAGACACATGTGAGCTTGTTGAGCTTCCAAAAGGACGGAAGGTAATTGGTTGCAAGTGGGTGTATACGAAGAAGGAGGGTATTGAAGGCACTCCCGTAAGATTCAAGACTAGGTTGGTTGTGAAGGGATATGCACAAGAGGAAGATATTGATTACAATGAGGTCTTCTCTCCGGTGGTGAAGCATTCTTCGATTTGGGTTTTGCTAGCTTTGGTGGCACAATATGGTTTGGAATTAGATCAATTTGATATGAAAATAATATTTCTTCATGATGATCTTGATGAGAAAATCTATATGACTCAACCATTAGGGTTCTGAGCTGTATGGAAGGGGAAATTGGTTTGTAGGTTGAAGAAATCGCTATACGGATTAGAGCAATCTCCGCGAAAGTGGTATAGACGATTCGATAGGTTCATGATCGGTCATTCATACATTAGGAGCTAGTTTGATCCTTGCGTGTACTATCGCAAGTTGAATGGAGATGCATACATTTATTTATTATTTTATGTCAATGACATGTTAGTTGCTTCTACTTCCAGTCCTACGATAGATAGATTGAAGATTCAGCTTTCGAGTGAGTTCGAGATGAAGGATTTGGGTGAAGCTAAGTGCATTTTTGGGATGGAAATCGACAGAGACAGAGATAATGGCAGAATTTATTTGACACATGTGGCTTATTTGAAGAAGGTTCTACATCGGTTCAATGTGAGCATGAAAACAAAGCCAGTTAGTGTACCATTGGGAGCCCATTTGAAGCTTTCAACTGACCTTTCACCAAAGAAAGTTGAAGATCGAGAGTTGATCTCGAAGACTCTATATGCGAGCGCAGTTGGAAGTTTGATGTACACCATGGTTTGTATGAGGTTGGATTTATCATAGGCAGTGAGCATGGTTTCTAGATACATGCACGACCCATGTCCTGATCATTGGGATGCTATGAGATGGATTTCGAGGTACACTCGTGGTACTCTCAACATTGGTTTGGTCTTTGAGCGGGATACTAGCGGTGGTCAGCTATATATTGGATACGTAGATTCGGACTACGCTAGAGATTTAGATAAACGCCGGTCGACTACGGGATATGTGTTCACTTTTACTCGTGCGCCAGTGTTGGAGATGCACCTTACAGTCTACGGTGGCTTTGTCAACAACAGAGGCAGAGTATATGGCGATTACAGAGGCTGTTAAGGAGGCGATTTAGCTTCAAGGACTTTTAGAGGATCTTGGTGTTTCACAGCGATCCGTCATCATTTATTGTGATAGCATGAGTGCTATTTATTTATAGAAGAATCAGGTCTTTCATGCGAGAACGAAACATATCGACATTCGTTATTACTTTGTTTGAGATGTTCTTGAAGATGGGGATGCGGAGCTCATGAAGGTCCACACAAAAGATAATCTAGCAGATATGCTCACAAAGGTGGTCCTGAGCAACAAGTTTGATCATTGTAGAAACTTGTTGCAAATTTGTGATTGCTGAGGCCGTTCGCGACCATTTGGATGAACTTCGAGCGACTTGATCTCTTGGGAGAGGGGGTATGTAGGTAACCACATTGGTGCAGCCGAATTTGGAGAGATGACACATTGGTGCTCTTGTTGGTGTCGACTCAGTTTTGAAAACACTTCGCCGAGGTGGAGAATTGTTGGATAGCAGGTTCCTAATTTGGTTTGGTAACAGGTTATTGGGATTTCTAATCTGTTTCGGTAACAGATTATTAGGATTCCTAATCTGTTTTGTTTTTTGTTTTAGAATTCCTAGTATGTTTTTGGTTTTAAGATTTTTATATATATAGAACGTTTTAGAAGAGAAGATTAGTAGAGAGAATTAGAGAAAAAAAGAGTCTTTTGAGCATATTGAGAGGAAGATATTGTGAGGGAGTTGAGATCTTTGGTTAGTGTTATATTTGAGTGATTGTGTGAGTTGTAATACGTTGTATTTCTCCTCCATTGAGTGAAATCTCCCCATCCTCTCCCTATGGACGTAGGCAATTTGCCGAACCACGTAAATTCTCTATGTTTGTAATTGGTTTGTGCTGTTTTTTTAGTGATTGCACTCATGTTTAGTTTAGTTTTCTTCTCTCATCGATCGCAGGCTCGTTTGGTTATCGAGCACGCTTCCGCACGGCGCGTAATAATTAAAAATTGAAAGTTACATCAAATAGATGATAAAATTAAAGGGTGCAAGGAGTATTCTACTAATTTTCTCCTGGTCAATGGCCATGGTTAGTTCAGTTCGATATTATGTGAGGGGAGATGGGTTAGTTTGAGAAAATAGCAACGCCATTGAGTGATATTTTAGAGAAAAAGATGGAAATTAAATGAGTTTTAACAGCAATTCTTTAATAGCAAGGGATGTTGTAATGGAAAAATAACGTCGAGGAGTTTCCTAATGGTTTATCAAACTTGAATGGGGTTTCATAGTCACTAACCAGGGCTAGCCAGCAGCCTTTTATTTCCACGGACTTGTACGGGGCTGTTTGGTTGTATGTTTTTACCATGTAAAAGGATGTAAAGTGTAAAAAAGTGGGTCCCAATGTCAGCTTTCATCACTTTCAATTGTTTGTTTGTAGTTGTGAAAATAGTGTAAAGTGATTTCATATGCTAATGTGGCTTGTAAAGTGATTTCATGAAAAAAAGACATGATTTTAGGAGAAAGCTAACATTGAAGTTAAGAAAAAATAATAAAAAATAATTCCAACCAATATGATCATTTGAGTAGGGACCACCTTTTACACTTTCCAAACAAACAATTAAAGTTTCATTTTGCAAACCAAACAAGTGTTTTATGATTCCAATGAAATCAAAAACAAACAATGAAAAGTATAAAAGTGAAATTGATGAGGTGGACAACAACTTTCCAAGTTGTGTCATAAATACACAACTTTACCGACAACAAACAAACAGCCCCTACCATACCCTGTAACCCGGTCCATTGCCTTTTTTGCCCTCTACGTGCGAGTGGGGTTTTGAGGAGGAAGAAATGGGGGAAGAAGAGGAGATCACGTGGCTCCGTGATTGGGCGGGGACGGAAGCGATGAGGGCCGGACGGTCATCATCTTCGGCATCGATCCAATTATCCCCTGAGGCGCGTCTTTCTAGCTTCATCGACGCACGATTCACACGCCATGTAACTCTCTTTCCCCGCTCACTTTTATTAACCCCCCTTTATTAAATTAACACTCTAAAAAACACAAATCCTAGAAAAAGACCTCTAGATTCTGGGTATCAACTCTTAAAGGGCCTAATTATACTGTACCGCGCTGCGTCACTTGTTACCCTTTGAACATTTGGTGGGTGTTTCTTGAATAGTTTGGTTCCAGGAAGGAAATCTTGGATATCTCAAGGTTATGTCTTTTGATCTCAAGAGCTTTATCCCCTGGGCAAACCCTAAAAAGTTTAAGACGACGGATGGTTATGGCTTCATACAATTTTAACTCCCATGATCCCGCTCAAAAGAGGAATGCAATGGGTCACTAATAATCCCTGGGACAAATATGCATTTTCAGCTTAGGTAATATCTGCTGCCAGTGAAAACAGTAAATGCAGTGCCATATTAGTAGGTTTTCTTTTGCAATTTTAAACATTACTTTTTCCAAAAATAATGTATCTTTCTTATTTTTTGCCTCATGATTATCGCTAGTAATCTGCTGAAGATGGCTTTTCATTGTCAATCCTAAACCGGGATAAGAAAAGAGAGTTCCTTTCGGTATATGAATGCGAAAATTATTGCTTTTGAGGTGGCAACATCCACTAAGCAATACAAGAAACGAACAATGGTGTTAGGGAGCTGGCACAAATCTTCTTTTTTTGGGGCACAATCCTTGGATAATGATAGTTGAGCAAGAATGGGTTGTAAAACAATGCCTGCAGACTTTGTATTAATAAGGGTAGGTTTGATGGTGTTAGAAGAGCCAATTGGGTTGTTATACTTAAATATTATGAAGGGCGATTTCTTATAGGCAAAAATAATAAACTGAATATATGGTTCTTCACCCTACATGGATTACAAATGCATCATATATATCCCAAGACAAGAACCAAAAGAGATAAAGAATAATTTTTTAGTAAAATGAAGGAAGAGATTAATAGGAAAGGAATCAGGAGAAGATTTTATAAGAAGAGAGATGGAAACCTGAAGGAGAATCTTCTTTGCGGCTTATTCTGATACCACCAGTGGATTGCCTCTATGGACATCCTGAGGGAAGGGGGTTCAAAATTGTTGTCACGCAGGGGATTTCACGTTAAACTTGTAGATCATGTTTAACCCGATCATAATATTCAAGACGAGCACTGTCTCAAATTCACTTGTAAATATGAGAAATTTTAAGATCCACAGGTGCAAAGATCCTAGAGAAACCACATTAGGCAATGCTCCAGAATGCATTTGCGTGTGTGTATATATGTATATATTTCCAATCATATTCATAAAGGTAAGAAATTTTAAGGTTCATTAGTGTAAATATCCACGAGCAATGGTATGCAATGCTCTGTTTGTGTGTGTGTGTGTAATAGACACGTATAGTGACAAACATACCCAAACCCAAACCAGGCCGAACACATGTGTGTAATAGACACATATAGTGACAAACATACCCAAACCCAAAAAAAAAAAAAAAAAAGAAAAGAGAAAAAAAACAGACACATACATAGATATAACCGCAATGTGAGGACCTCACAGATATGACCACTATGCGTGGGTCCGGGAAAGGGTCAGAACACTTTTGGTCTACTGTATACGCAGCTTTATGTTGCACAAGCAACACATGCATATATGAACTACACTTTTTAGAAGGATTTGAGTGCAAATCCTTTTTGTTAAGTTTAGAGTTAGGTCACTTGTGCTAACTGCTACTCCAACCATTGATGTTCAGCTATGATGTCTGGAGTGTGTGGAACCAAATTTAGAAGTTTTTAATACAGACTATATCAAATAGTTACAAAGTGGATGTCGTTAAAAACCAATTTATTGTATTACAATCTCAAATGTCTAAAATCCAACTGATGTTGGTGTACGGAAGTTTTGAAGTGTTCTAGGTTATGTCAAAAGTATTAAATTTAAATCGTATGTTCGAACTAGTTAAATTTGCCGAACTTTTTGTTAGTCAGCCCAAGTCAATGAATGGGGAAAAAAACTTTAAAAATTTCATTTTTCTTTGGTTTTTAGACAATTTAAATGATGTAGAGCAACTTTAGATCCACTTTGAGTGGCCAAACCTTAAAAGCTTGAATGAGAAGATTCGACTTCAATCTCTTTAGAAATGGCAAGCTTGCCCTTGATTATGAGATACAGTTTGAGAAACTCAATATTTAATTTTCTAATCCTTTGATCTATTGTTTGCTATTCTTTAGCATGCCCTTGATTATGATGTATAGAGAAACTTGTTTCAAGCATTTATTCTTATGGATTGTGCATGAGTCATGAGTTGTACTGTATTTCCTTACAATTATAGATGACTTTGAGTCTGATCTTTAAATCTTCATGTTTTATGTGTTGTCATGTTTAATGCTGTTATCTTGGATGTTGATAAAGAGCTTGTGAAACACTTTGTCACGCGAGCCCAAATTTATGTGCTTAGTTCTTAGCTGCATTTCTAATGTTGGTTGTTAATTTTATGCATATATGATTAGATACAGCCCTCATCTTTGGTGCTCTTCGTTGGCAGGAGTATGCCCAACACTGCCGACTGCCATACCAGACGTGACCCCAACTGCATCCCAGGGGGATGGTGATGATGCTAAAATTGTAAAACTGTACGCAGTAGTTTCATTCAACCGTAATAAGTGTGTTTCCCTTTGTGCCTTGTTTTAACTGTCTTGATTGCTGCAGTTATTTGCTGATGTTGCAGGCCCTGGTACCGAGGAAAACTTGAAACATATCTTTGAAAAAACTGGGAATTGTACTGTTAAGATTCCTACAGGGAAAGGATGTGACAGTCCACTATGAATCTAGGTATGCTGGAAATAGATAATTAACTTCATCAAGGTCATTGTATCTCTTTAAATGTGAAATGTATTTGCGTAGAGTGTCTGCTTACATGCCATTGCTTTCAACCTTCATTTATTTCCTTCCCTAGAGTTTCACTTCATATATATTGACGAAGCCTTGACTGAGTTTCTGAGTCTTATTTTTAAACAATTAAAACATTTGAAAGAATGAGTAGGTTTAGAAGTAAAATATATTTCAATTTATCCCTTATCCATTGTACCTTTTTGTAACCATGCTACTTGAGCCTACTTCTTTTGCCATGACTCATGTAGATTAAAACTTAATGAGTTCTTGTAGTTTTGAGAGTTTGATTGTCCTTCATGTCACACGGTAATATATCTGTGTTTTATCCAAACAATTCTGGATATCGTTAACATGAATAATACTGTTCATATAGTTAGCATTCTCCTTGTTTTATTTGCTGTGTTTGTCTTCCCTTTGTAGTGATATTGCTAAAAAAGCAATGGAAAAGCGGCAACGTCTCTCTGTTAAATGAAAAAATATGTTTGCTTTCTTGGGGTGAGAGTAGAAGTATCCAGCCTATCGAGATATTTGATGGGTTGCTATACTGCTGATTTTTTCAATTTTCTATTCTGTTGGTGTTGAATTTCATTCATTTAGCTTGCATTTTTCACCCTTCCATTTGTCTACATTCGGGTTATTGCATCTTTTTATAGTGTATATAGTAATGAAAAGAAATGATTTATAGGAGGAACTATTGGCGAGTAAGGGTAAAATCAGTTTCCAGATCTGTTGGTGAAAAGGACTGATAAATTCTTGGTGGGTGGTAATAAATTCGTAACATGGCTTTCATTGTCTTTTTTAATCAATTTCATATTCACTCCAGCTTGAAAGTTAATTTCTTAACTATCTCAATTTACACGACATTCAGTATATTGAGGTGACTTTTTGAATATATTGGACCATTTCCAATGAATTTCCTTCTGCTGCTAATGTGGAATGTTCAAATCCACTGACTGAATACAAAGATTGATGCGAAACAATGTGATGCAGATAAGAAGATTAACGACAACAATGCTTCGCCAAATCAGCGATCGATCTAGGCGGGAAGCTTAAGAACAAAGTGCAGTTTCAATGGTTTTTAAGCAAAAGTGCAATGTACTAAGTTCAAAACCTTTTTGTAAATTATTCAGAAACTAAATGTAATGGTTCGTTCTCTTAACACAGTTCAACTTGTAATATTTAGACTAGCAAATGCTCACTTAATCAAGCTAATACAGCGCAATCAATTGATAATAAAATTGAGAATAACACGTACGCAACAGTAGTTCCGAAAATACAGGGTCGAAAGAAAACAAAACCTGCGTCGGTCTGAACAGACTCGACGTGAGAGACCTCTGGAGGCGGATCGACGACGGCGAACTGGATGCGGACGTGTGTAACAAACTGAGCGACGACGATGATGTAAAGGCGGAAAACGACGATACGAACAGATCTGTCTCTGCCAGCTGGGGCTGTCCGTCGAAAGGATAGCAGGGAGGAGGAGCTGAGTTTGTGGGACTGCTCAATTAGGAGGAGAGTAGGAGGGGTTGAATGGATCTGTGGATGGGGAAAACAGATCAGGGCGGTGACTGGAGTAGGAAGGGATTCTGGGCATTGGCTATTTGTTGCTGGCGAAAAACAGGGAAGGGAAACAGGGGAGAGATCGGGATGGTCTGTGGTGGAGGAGGGGATGGCCGGCGACGACCAGTGGTTTGGTGGCTTGCAGCGAAGTGAGAGAGAAAGATTTGGCGGACTGTTTGACGTGGGGAGATCAGAGGAGAGTTGGCGGCTGAGTAAAGGGAACAGGGGGGCGGAGCTTGTGGATGAGGGTGACGTTAGATTGCCTGAAAGGTGGTTGCTTCTGGAGAAGGAACAGGGAATGATGGGGTTGTAAATAATTGGATTAATTGGGTCTGGAAGAAAAGGTTATGTGATGTTGAAGTAGGACGGTGGAGTTGGGGTGTTGGGTGTTGACGTGAGCAGGCGCGTTTGCGGTCGGCGGAGGGAATAGGACAAGGGAGGGAAGAAGACGAAGTTGGTGGGCTGATTGGTTTAATTGTGAAGAGGAGTTCTGTTGTGTGTTTGCGTGGAGAAGATGAAGGCTGCAGTTGTCAGCTTTGAAAAGAAACAAAGACAGAAAATACGTATTAACCTAGGGTTTCACACCATAATTAGGCTAACACGAATTTTTTTATTCATCTTCAATGATCTTCAATCTGATTACAAGAGAGTTTAAATAAAGAAAAATACAGATTTGGAAAAATCCTCTAAATCCCTCAAATCTCTCTCATAACCAAAATACAACCAATTAACTTAATTAGCTACTAAATAAAATTCGAAATTCGAAATTTTGAAATTCAAAAATTTAAATTTCAAACTAATTTATTACAATTGAAATCAAAACCATAGTGCTGCAACATGGCGTCTCCTTCGCTGATAAACTCGGCGAAAATCCCGTGTATGTGTCCGGATGTCCCCATCATTCTCCCCGGGTGGGAGAGAACTCGACCCTGTCGAGTGTAAATCAGAACGGCTGTCATACTGCTCAAGAAGATCTGGATCCAGCCTCTGCAAGTCATCCCTATCGAGCCAGGTGTCATCTGACTCAGGTCGTCCTTTCCAACGTACCAAATACCTGCGGATACCACCATTGCTAGTAGAAACAATGTTACCATCAATAATAGTATCAATGTCATGTGCTGTATACGTGGGTGATATCTGGGGAAGTGGAGGTAAAGGGGAGCTCTCAGAAATAGGCTCAGGGGTAGGCTCATCAACCAATGGGTTGTCAGGGTTAAAATATGGGCCTTTGTACTCTACTAAATCCTCAATATTAAAAGTCGAACCAATATTAAAACTTTCGGGAAGGTCGAGAACATAAGCATTATCATTAATTTTCTTGAGAATTTTAAAAGGTCCTGCACTTCGCGCATGCAACTTTTTAACAGTTCCCGGAGGAAACCGTTCTGGACGTATCCGAACCATCACATAATCACCAACATTAAATTCTTTAAACTTCCTTCTTAGATCTGCTCGCATTTTATAGTTAGCATTGCTGTCATTGATCTTCTTACTGATGTCTTTATGCAAGTCATGAATGCGAGATGCAAATGCAGATGCTGACTCAGATACTCTATGATGTGCAGACACGGGGACAAGATCTATAGGCTGTCTAGGTTTGTAACCATACACGACTTCAGCTGGACTGACACCTGTAGACCTATTAACAGAGTTATTATAAGCAAATTCAGCAGTAGGCAAATGTTGATCCCAACTCCTAAGATTCTCACCAACTAGCGATCTCAAAAGGTTACCTAAGCTCCGATTGACTACCTCAGTTTGACCGTCAGTCTGGGGATGAAAGGCCGTAGAGAATTGAAGTTTAGTTCCCATTTTGTGCCAAAGGGTTTTCCAGAAATAACTTGTAAATTTAACATCCCTATCTGACACGATTGTTTTCGGAAGCCCGTGCAGTTTAACAACTTCGTTGAAGTATAGCTTGGCCACATGAGAAGCGTCGGAAGTTTTGAAACATGGTATGAAGTGGGCCATTTTGGAGAAGCGGTCCACAACAACAAAGATAGAATCGTGTTTTCTAATCGTTTTCGGGAGTCCTAACACGAAATCCATACTAACATCCTGCCATGGACAATTTGGCACAGGGAGAGGAGTGTACAAACCAGTGTTCTGTTTACGTTGTTTTGCCAATTGGCAGATGTGACATCTACTCACTAGTCTAACAACGTCTCGTTTCATACTTGGCCAATAGAAGCGACTTTCCACTGCCTCGACAGTCTTGTTATTTCCAAAATGTCCTGCAAGGCCTCCAGCGTGTAATTCCCAAATTAAGAATTCTCTCAGGGAGGTGTCAGGAATACACAACTTGCGAAAATGGAAGAGATATCCATCCTTCAGGAGAAAGCCATCAATTTCACGGATCACTCCATCATTTAGCAAAGTATAAACTTCGCTAAAATCAGGGCACGATTCATATTGGTCTTTGACTTTCTCAAAACCGATAACTTCCGCACTCAAAGTGGAGAGGAGGTGCATGCGACGACTGAGTGCGTCGGCGGCTTTATTTTCTACTCCCGCTTTATGTTTGATCGTGTAGGTATAATCCTGGAGGAATTCAACCCAACGACCATGTCTAGCGTTCAATTTCTTTTGGGAGTGAATATATCGAAGAGCTTCGTGGTCAGAATATATGACGAATTCTTGTGGGAGCAGATAGTGACGCCAGTGTCGAAGAGATTGTATCACCGCATAGAACTCTTTATCATAAGTGGAATAACGTTGCCTAGTGTCATTAAGCTTCTCACTGAAGTAAGCAACGGGATGTCCTTCTTGAGATAGGACTCCACCTATTCCAATACCAGAGGCATCACACGCAATTTCGAAGACTTTAGAAAAATCGGGCAGGCGCATAACAGGAGCCTGCAACATCCTTTGCTTGATCTCTTCAAATGCCTTGGTAGCAGCTTTTGACCACTCGAACTCACCTTTCTTCAAGCAATCGGTAATAGGGGCCATGATGGTACTGAAGCCCTTGATAAGCCGACGATAAAAAGTAGCGAGTCCGTGAAAACTTCGAACGTCCCTAATGCTCTTGGGTTCGGGCCATTCTTCAATAGCTCTGACTTTTTCAGGGTCAGCGGATACTCCTTCAGACGAGACCACGAATCCTAGAAAAATGACTTGCTGTGTAAGAAAAGTACATTTCTTAGGATTAGCATAAAGTTGCTCTTTCCTTAACACGACACAGACTTGACGTAGATGGTCCACATGCTGCTCACGAGAATTACTGTAAATAAGGATATCGTCGAAGTACACAGCCAAAAATTTTCCCGTGAAGGGGTGGAGTACTTGATTCATCACTCTCATAAAGGTGCTCGGAGCATTAGTCAGCCCAAAGGGCATGACCATCCATTCGTACAATCCATCTTTGGTCTTAAAAGCGGTTTTCCATTCGTTACCGGGACGGATGCGAATCTGATGGTAGCCACTCTTAAGATCAATCTTAGAAAAGATGGTGGCTCCAGACATTAAGTCAAGCATGTCATCCAACCGGGGAATGGGGAAACGGTATTTCACCGTAATCTTGTTAATCGCACGGCTATCCACACACATACGCCATGTTCCATCTTTCTTTGGCGTCAGTAATGCGGGAACCGCACAAGGGCTCATGCTTTCTTTCACAAAGCCCTTCTTCAACAATTCATCAACTTGCCTTTTCAACTCTGCATGCTCATTGGGATTCATCCGATAGTGAGGCAAATTGGGAAGGGATGCTCCCGGGACTAAATCAATTGCGTGTTGGATATCACGCATCGGGGGTAATTGGTCCGGGAGGTCTTCAGGGAAGACGTCAGAAAATTCTTCCAACACAGTAGCGACTTCTGGGGAAACCACGTTAGAAATATCCTTCGGAGCTTCTCTAGCGGCGATGGCGAAAATAGGAGCTCCGTTGGCCAGTTCGCGATCAATCTCTTTGCCTCCAATCAGGTTAACGCCTTGGGAAGACTTGTTTGGATCAGGCTTCTTGTCGTTTCCTTTTGGTTGAACCGGTAGGATCTTGACCTTCTTTCCGTCGTGTTCGAACAATAGCATATTGGATCGCCCGAAGATATGAACGTCGTTATCAAATAACCAGGGTCTTCCAAGAATAACTTGACCCACATCCATTTTCAAAACATCGCACCAAACTTTGTCTTTATAAATGGAAAATTGAAGAGGGACTAGGCATCTCTCTTGGACATTGAGGGCGGTGTCGTTAATCCATGATACCTTGTATGGATTAGGATGGGGTACAACCTTGAGACCAAGCTTAGCGATCACAGCTGAGGAGACCGCGTTAATGCAACTTCCACTGTCCACGATCACTTTACAATTTTTATCACCAATCTTTGTGAACGTATGAAAAATGGAAGTACGTCTCCAATCATCAACAGCCTTGGGTTGAGAGATGGCGCATCTGACAACTGATACGGTAGGAGTGTCAATTTGTCTAAGACAACCTAAGATAGTATCATCAGCATCATCCTCGAAATCATCGGTATCATCGTCAACTTGATGGACAAACTCGTCACTGTCAGATTCAGGTTCGTATTCGTATTGTCCATCGATAATAGCAACCTTATGACGGGTCGGACAGTTCGCAGAAACATGCCCATACCCTTGGCATTTGTAGCACTTGACATGAGCGCCAATCTTGGAGAAATCTTTCTCCGGCTCCTTGCCTTTGGAATCGACTTTAGACTGGGAAGAACTGGGGTTAGATCGACTCGGAGGATGACTAGAAGTAGTGGCACGGGAAGGTTGGGAAGAATGATTTCTATAATCCTGACTCCTATAAGATTGATGGGATTTTGATTCATCTAGATCCTGAACTAACGCGTAAGCTTTTTCAAGGGTGTCTACTCCCCGAGCAAAGAGTTCGGTTTGCAGATCATTTCTCAATCCAGCTCTAAACTTCGACAAGACTTTCATTGGCGCCTCTTGTTCAATAGTGTTGCATCGAGTGAACAGTTCGTCAAATTGTGCAACGTAATCTTTTGCGGATTTGGTGCCTTGAGTGAGACGATGCCACTTATCTAGCAATCGATGATAAAATGATGGCGGAAGGTATTTCTGTTTAAGTTCGTTGGTCATTTCTCGCCAAGTTGTAATCGGTAACTCACCTCTAATGTGCCTCAACGTTTCGAGGTTGGTCCAATATTGGCAAGCAGGTCCGGTAAGTTTCATAGCGGCGGATTTGACCTTTCGGGGTTCCGTTAGGGCGTACCAATCAAAATAACGATCCATGCTCTTCAGCCAGTCCAAGAAAGCTTGTGGGTCGAGCTTGCCGTCAAAGGTTGGGGCGTTGATCTTAATACTCCTCAGGTATTGCGCATCCGGATCAGGTACCGGTTGATGTGGGGGCCGTTGAACGATGTTTCCATAACCTTGACCTTGCAGCGGCGGGGCGAAGTGTTCATAACCTTGACCTTGTGGTGGCGGGGTTGCAACACGAGCTTCTTCGAGCCTAGCAAACTTTTCGTTGGTTTCGTTTCGGAGATTTGCTAAACCCTGGACTACGACACCTAATTGTCCTGCTAGCTCATCGAGTTTCTTATAGAGTTCGGGATCGCTGCTGCCTGACATACTGGACTCACTAGTCGACTCACTTGACTCTCCTAAGCGATAGGGTAGACCGGTACGAGTGGGCATGCACTAAATGCAATGAAATGAGTGGGTGCACAAAAATTAAATGAGATGACTAATAAGACTCACAAATTTCCTAACCTAGAACCAGGTGCTCTGATACCAAAAATGATGCGAAACAATGTGATGCAGATAAGAAGATTAACGACAACAATGCTTCGCCAAATCAGCGATCGATCTAGGCGGGAAGCTTAAGAACAAAGTGCAGTTTCAATGGTTTTTAAGCAAAAGTGCAATGTACTAAGTTCAAAACCTTTTTGTAAATTATTCAGAAACTAAATGTAATGGTTCGTTCTCTTAACACAGTTCAACTTGTAATATTTAGACTAGCAAATATACTTGGCAACTGAATCGCTCGCTCACTAATCAACTGAATACAGCGCAATCAATTGATAATAAAATTGAGAATAACACGTACGCAACAGTAGTTCCGAAAATACAGGGTCGAAAGAAAACAAAACCTGCGTCGGTCTGAACAGACTCGACGTGAGAGACCTCTGGAGGCGGATCGACGACGACGAACTGGATGCGGACGTGTGTGACAAACTGAGCGACGACGATGATGTAAAGGCGGAAAACGGCGATACGAACAGATCTGTCTTTGCCAGCTGGGGCTGTCCGTCGAAAGGATAGCAGGGAGGAGGAGCTGAGTTTGTGGGACTGCTCAATTAGGAGGAGAGCAGGAGGGGTTGAATGGATCTGTGGATGGGGAAAACAGATCAGGGCGGTGACTGGAGTAGGAAGGGATTCTGGGCATTGGCTATTTGTTGCTGGCGAAAAACAGGGAAGGGAAACAGGGGAGAGATCGGGATGGTCTGTGGTGGAGGAGGGGATGGCCGGCGACGACCAGTGGTATGGTGGCTTGCAGCGAAGTGAGAGAGAAAGATTTGGCGGACTGTTTGACTTGGGGAGATCAGAGGAGAGTTGGCGGCCGAGTAAAGGGAACAGGGGGGGCGGAGCTTGTGGATGAGGGTGACGTTAGATTGCCTGAAAGGTGGTTGCTTCTGGAGAAGGAACAGGGAATGATGGGGTTGTAAATAATTGGATTAATTGGGTCTGGAAGAAAAGGTTATGTGATGTTAAAGTAGGACGGTGGAGTTGGGGTGTTGGATGTTGACGTGAGCAGGCACGTTTGCGGTCGGCGGAGGGAATAGGACAAGGGAGGGAAGAAGACGAAGTTGGTGGGCTGATTGGTTTAATTGTGAAGAGGAGGAGTTCTGTTGTGTGTTTGCGTGGAGAAGATGAAGGCTGCAGTTGTCAGCTTTGAAAAGAAACAAAGACAGAAAATACGTATTAACCTAGGCTTTCACACCATAATTAGGCTAACACGAATTTTTTTATTCATCTTCAATGATCTTCAATCTGATTACAAGAGAGTTTAAATAAAGAAAAAATACAGATTTGGAAAAATCCTCTAAATCCCTCAAATCTCTCTCATAACCAAAATACAACCAATTAACTTAATTAGCTACCAAATAAAATTCGAAATTCGAAATTTTGAAATTCAAAAATTTAAATTTCAAACTAATTTATTACAATTGAAATCAAAACCATAGTGCTGCAACATGGCGTCTCCTTCGCTGATAAACTCGGCGAAAATCCCGTGTATGTGTCCGGATGTCCCCATCAAAGATATTCTCCATCGACATATCCCTTAAAGCTCTATAGTTATGCTCAATTCTTTAGCCTCTTCATATTCTTTAACTTCTTTTTATCTCTATCATGATATCATCAATGGCTACTAATTCTCTTTGGACATTGCCTTTGGTCTGATGAAGAGAAGTGAGAATTTAGTTCTGCCTTCATTTAATGTTATAAAAATATTGCAATTTCCTTTTATTCATCACAATAAATTTCTATATAGAAACATTCATAAACACGATGTTTGTGGTCTGATTACTTACAAAATCTCCATGAACGTGTACATGAAAGTGTGGAGAATAAATGATAACATCAGTTAGTTATTCCTAAAGTGGACTGTGTAATTAATCTCCTTCCAGTAAGACGTGCGATAAAGTTTAAAAAATACATTATGATTTAAAAATGTTCTTTAAATTTTATCATTTTGAAGTAGGACATTATAAAAGTTTGCAGATTTGCAAAGTCACTATCTTTAAAACGAAAATGTGACATTTTACAATAGATGTTCTAAGTAAAGAAGTAATGTTAAAAATTGTAGAAATGAACTTGGAAATTATTATTGGTAATATGCTGTCTCTTATTCTCCTGCCATTTTCAAATTAATTGTTCTCTTCTATTTCTATTAGAGAGTTAGAGTGGCATAGAAAATCAGAGAAAAGTAATTAAGAGAAAATTCTTCAGAGTACGGGGTTGAGATGGAAAAACAGAGAGAAGGAAACAAGAGAAGAAATTATCAGTAATAACAGAAACTGAGAGATATGCAAGAGGGGAGAGTGAGAGGGATCTAGTTGTGAGGAGAAGATAGGACAAGAATGGAGTCATGAGATGAGAGTAAAATTACAACCGAAAGGAATGGGTTATTTCTTGTTTGATGCATGGTATATGGTTTGGGTTGGGGGTTGGCTACTTTCATAGTTTCTATTACATCTTTGGGATTTTTAAGAGATAAGAGAGAGTTTCGTATTGGGAGAGGGACTCATACTTCCCATGACATGTTACCACATCGGAACTATGAGGTTTTAAAGGTGCATATTGGTCTTAGAATAAATGAAATCAGGAGTAATTTTTGGAAAATTTGGCCATTTTCTGTATTTCCTTTGATACAAATTATTTGTTTTGGTGTTTTTTAACAAAATTGGATAATTTGGAAATTACAACCATGTGATCTCGAATCTCTTTACGCAATTGACAGACTCATTTTATTTCCGTATGATTTGCAGGACATATATTACGATCATCCAGAATTTTCACAATACTGTTGTGATTATAGTTGCAAACCACTGCGATGTGCTTCCATTGGAGTTCCATTTTGTCCTTATAGATCTCAGCCTTTCATAGTTCAATCCTTTTTTAAAGATGGCCGTTGTGATATATGTGGCAAAGTTCCTTCGGTAAGAATTACATAACTATACAATTGATTTTATGACTTGATTCTCCAACTTGAGAATTTTAACCTTTATTTATGAAAATGATTGTACTAATCTATATCCTTGCATGCATGATTTTACTCTAGAAGATGAGCTCTTCAATTGGTAGCAGTCGAAATTTCTAAAGTCTGTTCATTATCATTGACTTGGCCACATCTACTTTTTCCACAAGTATGCAATGAAGTTGTGAAATAGTTGGATATAATAGATATTGAATTATACACTCGCAGGGGCCATGCTTGCACAGAGGATTTCTATTGATAACTTTCTTCATGAGCAAAGTGGGCTCTCAACTTTGAGTGCTTAACTGCTCCTTTTAGGGAGCAACTCTTTTAGGACACAAATATCATGTTGACTAGTCTGAAAAGCTAGGATATATCCTCAGTTTAGAAACTTATCATGCAATGCCCTTAACAGGCATCAGTAATATTTTTGGGGGAGAATCAATTCTTTTCCGAGACTTCCGAAGATAATTTCTATGACCTTCAAATCTTCTCTATTTTGATAGTAGATCTCAAAACATGGAATTTCTAAATAAGATCCCTAAATCCTTTGAGTTCGAAAAAAAAGCCATTTGGTTAGATTTAACCTTAATTGCTAAAATTTCTCTATCAATGTTAGAATTTTTTATTTATGGACTATTGTGCCCATGTTCATACACAGGGAAGAACTTG